TTTTCAGCTATTATTTAATAAACTTGTTGCCTTATCTACTCTCTACTGGAAGCCTAATTATTCGAAAATTTGCCCTTTTCAGTCAGTTCCATAAATCACTAAGGCTTTCTTTGTTCTTGTTTCTTTTCTCTGTTTGCTTCTTCGTTACCTCAGAATATCCTCTGAGTCATTAATTCTATCTTCCTTCTGCTTTACCCTGCTACAGACACTCTCTATTGTATTCTTTACCTCATTCATTGAATTCTTCAGGTCCAGAATTAGTTTGCTTTTATCATCATCATCAACATATCTCTTTGGCAAGGAATTCATTTCATTTATGTGTTTTTTCCTAATGTCATTTGTCTTATTGAGTTTTCTTGTGGTTCACTGAACTTCTTCAAAATGAGTTATTGCAAATTCTTTATTCATTAGAGCACTTTACTCCATAGCTTTAAGCTTTATTGTTGGAAAATTATTGATAACTTAGAGGTGACATATTTTCTTGGTTTTTCATGTTCCTTTTATTTTTGCATCTCTGTTTTCCCATTGGAAGTAGTAGACATCCCCTTACATCTTTATCAGCTGCCTTCTGATGAGGTGCTGGTGACTGGTGTTGCAGTGTCTGGGGTTTCCTCAGCTTTTGAAGGGGTACACCTGCTCCACCCTCTTTGCGCCCTCTGGTGGTAGAATTCTCAAACTTCCACATCTTTTCTTTTTCTTATAACTTACCAGGTTAGTTGCTGAAAGGCACTCGTTTTCCAGATAACAACACTCACTATAGCTCATGAATGGTTTCTCTCCTGCCTCCGGACCTGTTCGATTTTTCTGTGGGCACCCAATTAACAAACCTGCTCTCACACTGGCACCCTGAAGCACTCACAAGCATCCAGCTGTGCAGTGTGCATGGTGGGGGTGGAGGTGGAGTAATGGGTTTAGCACTTGGGGGTGATGGAGGTGCCCACAGACCCCTTTGGGAGATCCTCAAGTAGGATGCTTGCTGTGGAAGCCCAGTGGTCATCCAGGACCACATTCCTTCAATGTCCTTTGATTTTATGCTTCCTTCCCTTTCCTTCCCTCCCTCAAGTCATGGAGATGTATGCCACCTTAGTGCTCTCATTACTGCCGGAGAAACGGGTTTCTACAGTTGTGACCCATAAAACTGGGGTAGCCAAGTCCTTACTCACCACTTTCCACAGGACAGGTCTCCCGCATTTGTCAGCTCAACTCCATGCAGTGCCTCTAGAGGATCAGAGAGCTTGAAGGGAGTTCCTCCCTCTCCACCTGTCTCCCCTCAGGCAGGCTGGGCTCCCTCACATTCTCTCTTGCCCATTTTTACATGATGAGGCCAGGGTCCCAAAGATTTTTTTCCTTTACTTGGGCAAGCAGGGGTGCAGCAGGCTCATGACTCCTTTGGAACCACAGCCTGCTTATTTCTGTGTGTCTATTTTAAAGATTTATTTATTTATGCATACAAGAGCTGGGGTACAGGCCAGAGATGTGGGGGTAGGTAAGAGGACTCACCAGAAACAGAGTGGGGAACAGAACAGGCAGACTGACTGAAATACACTGCTGACGGTAGCAGCGGGTGAGACAGGAGAGGTCTGCCTCGCCCTGTGGGTTGCTCCCTGGCCAGCCGGGGATCGAACTCATGCTGCAAAGGCTGTGGATTGCTTCCTAGTGCAGTGCTTAACCTCTTGCACCACCAGGGAGGCCTCCTGTTTGTCTATTTTTGGAAATAAATGCAGATGAGTGTCCTTCCAGGTGCCTTGATGTAAAGTAATGGGTTCCTCAGCTCCCACTGAGACACTTTTGCTTGTGGATAGATGTTTAATTAGCGCTCTTAAAAAGAAAGAGTTAAAAGTTCTCATGACAAGACAAAATATTCTAGCTATGTATGGTAACAGACATGATGATCACAGAAAAAGGGAAGGGGGAAAAGAAAGGAGAAATACTGCCATCATTCTCTATCATATCATTATCACAAAAGCCAATTCTAACACAGAAATTATATTCTTAAATTTCGTGAACTTACATGGGTAGAAGCCGAACAGATTTTCTCACCTCTTCTTCAATTGTAGTAATTTGTCACTCTGGTTTGCTCTCTCTCCTCTATTCTTTTCTCTTTCTCCCTTTCTTTTTCCCTTCACACTGCACCCCAAAAACCCCTCCAAAAACACACACACACACAAGCAGACTCTCATACACACTATGATATTTTAACATCTGGTCTCAAAGTCACACTGAGCGAGCTGCTAAGTCACCAGCAGGAAGCCTAGCAGCAGGGTCCTAATGAAACTTGTCTCCCAAGTAGCTGTGATTTTCATTCAATGAGTCATGATAGCTATTATTTTAGGTGCTCTGAAAGACACATTTTTGATCAAGACTTCAGTGAGCTGTCGGGGATGAAGGATGGGGACTTTTTCCCCCTCAACTGGTTTCTCATATGAGGATCATGAAATGACTGGAAGACAGCATTGGGTGCCTAGTTACCAATGTCCACTTGGAAATTGTGCCCAATAATCTTCAACGTATTGGGTATTATCCATTTCCTAGGATATAGTTATCCAAGTAAATTCTTTCAGGGAATCAGTGAAAAAATCATTGACATGACCTTCCATGGTGGTACAAGGTCCCTCTACCTATAGATTTGGGCTTTCTGTCCATCAGTGATTCCTGGGTCTGAGAACAAGCTCAGAACGAAGTAGAAGACAAGAAATCATGATTTCTGTCAGCCTCCTGATGATGCATTCTTGATTTCTTTCAATTTTACAGTCTCGGTCATGCCCTTACTGGCTGACTATCTATCTTGTACCTACTGAAGCTTGTGAAGGTCTGGAGGAAGTACGATGAGGTTAAGAGACGAGTTATTGATAAATTAAATTGCAAAACAGTCACAACAAAAGGCTCAGCTGATTCCAAGAGTAGCGCTGGAGCTAGGATGGCCTTTCAAAGCTGTCTTGCCTTGGCTAATGGGGCTAGGCTTTTGTAACCTGGATGTAGGATGTCCCTGGAGAGAAGTAATGACTTCAGTGGAAGTAGTTGGGTTGAGCTGATAGCAGTTGTCAGAGAGCAACTAAAGGATATACATCAGCACATCCACTACAGGTACTGAGGTACTTTGTCCTTTATTTTTCCCCATAATCCACACATTTAAAAATATCACCAACACCATTATAGAAGACCTTTTTTGTTTGGATGGAGAGCTGATCTTTTTTGTCTTTAGAGGTGCATAGTGAAGTGTTTTAATGTCTTATGAAACAGCTCCCCTCTGGATGATTATGCCAACTCATTGCAATTGATTTGCTTTGCTCTCAGTTTTTGGGAACTGCTTTCTAAAAATTTAATTTTCATTAGTAATTACATAAAACATTTACATGGTTCCCAAACCCGGCACCTTCTAAGAAGTCTAGCTTCTACCCCAATCTTCTGCCCTCTATTTCCTCCCCCCCCCATTATATATTTTTAAAAACATAGCATCCTTCCATTTCAAACATAAATTAAGTTCTCTCTCTTTTTTTCTTAGCTAGTTGGGAGCATACTGTGATGCTCACTTTTATGTGCCAACCTGACTAACCCACTGGAGTGCTCGAACATTTGGTTACAGTCACACTTGCAGCATATTTCTGTGAGGGTGTTTTCAGATAAGATTAACATTTAAATATCAGTAGACTGAGTAAAGCAAATTGCCCTCACTAATGTGGGTGGGTCCACATTTTGTGCTGAAGGCCAACACAAAATAAAAAGGTTAACCTTCTTCCTTTTAATTGAGAAAGCCACAGAAAAAGGACTGTGAGAAAAAAGAATCAACTAAATATGAGGTTTATAAAAAAGCTGATGAAAGAGAAAATTTGGGGGCCTCCCTGGTGGCGCAGGCAGTTGAGTGCAGCACTGTGAAGCTGTCCACAGGCTCTGCAGTGCCGGTTCGATACCCACTGGCCTCGTAGCAACCCACATGGCGAGCAGACCTCTCCTGGCTCACCCGCTGCTCCCCTCAGAGTGTATTTCGTCAGCCTGCTCTTCTATAAATTAATCAGAAAGAAAAGAAAAGAAAAGAAAAGAAAAGAAAAGAAAAGAAAAGAAAAGAAAAGAAAAGAAAAGAAAAGAAAAGAAAAGAAAAGAGAAAAGAAAAGAAAGAAAGAAAATTTGGGGAAGAGGTCATTTGTAAATTCTGTAAAGGGACTGAGAATAAACTGTCTTTAGCAATGTGGCAGTTCACAGAGAACTGGAGAGATGGGAATAGGAAATAAAAGCAGCTGACATGGATAACTTTTTCAAGAAACATGGTAGTAAAATCCTGGGGTTTAATACATATTTATAGACTGAAATGAAGGAAAGGGAAGCAGAATTTTGGAGAAGGTGCAGCATCAATGAAGGTAGATCTGACAGTCTGCAAGATGGAAAGGCAGTCTTTTTCTTGTCTTAAGTCTTGAATATTGGCTCATCCTGGGTCTCAAGCCTTCAGACTTGAACTGCATCCTCAATTTTCTTGGTTTTCAGGCCTTCACACTCAGATTAGAACTGCAAGCTTGGTCCTCCTGGGTCTCCAGTTTACCAACTCACCCTGAAGATCTTGAGATTTGTCAATTATCTTTAATTAAATCTCCTTAATTCTCCATATTCAAATGAGCTGATTCCTTATAATAAATCAATTTTTCAGTATCTTTCTCCCCTTTTTTTGCCTCTACACAAACACACACACACACACACACACGTTCTATTCTATGTAGAACCGACTAACATAGTAGTTTCTCCTTATCTGTGAGATATGTTTCAAGATCCCTTAAACAGCAGACAGTACTGAACCCTATATATACTTCATTTTTCCTAAACATACATACTAAATGTACAAGTTTAATAAACAAATTAAGCACAGAAGACATTAAACAACATAAAACTAATAATAAAGCAGAATAATTATAACAAAAGTGAATGTCATTTCAGTTATTTGTGAAATAATTGACTTTTGAATAATTTAGTGAGTTTCTGGATATTAAATTAAATAAATCAACATTAACAACTACTTAACAGTGATAAAATATACTTTTATTTACTTCATTGAGTCAGAGGGTCATAAAAAAAAATTATTGCTAAAGTAGATATCAGGCGAACAGAAAGGTACTTTAGAAGTCCAGTTACCTTGGAGTTTATTTAAACTAAAAGAAAAATGTCATAATGTTTTCATGCAATACATACTTGGTTCTTTAAATAACAACTGTGACAAGTACCAGAAAGAATGAAGGAATATGCTGCACTTGTGATCCATACAAAACACCAACATTTTGGTTGTACATAATTTAAAGAAATGTCTTAAACACATCTGAAATACTGTAGTAGCCAATACATTAGAGGCATGCCTTGGTTGGGCATAGGAATGCAATTTAGAAAAAAAAAAAAAAAAAAAAAAAGATCATACCAGAACTACTCAATTTCTTTAAAATCACTGAGCAAGGAAAGCCAACATTGATCTTCCAAACTGATTTTACACAATTTCTGTACAGTACCTTGACTTAAATCCATGAGCAAAAGTTAATTCTCTCCTCCTCTATTTTTGGTAAACAACTGCATGGTAAACTTAGATGACTTTTCCCCCTGGATTTTACCTGGGAGTGGCCTTTTAAATTTTTTATTTAAAAGAGGGCAGGTTTGGCACTTTTATACTGATGTCACCAATGTTAATATTTCTTGGGATCTCAGGAAGATTCATATTCTTTACAGCTGATACAGCACGGGCTGGAGCTCCCGCTAAGCCAGCCTGTATACAGAAGCAGATAAAAGAAAAAGAAAATGTACAACTCAGGTATAACTCATCAAAAAACACCTAAAATGGAGATCAATGATAAAAGATTTTCATATAACAAGCTTAGAGACCAGATGGTAGTTTGAATTGGTATGGGATGATTGATTACTTTGAAATACTAATCTATAAAGAGAAAACAGTTGACACATTGGAAACGCAGTGAATACATGCAATGAGAACAATGTAGAGATTGAAATACAAATTAACCTATACCACTTAAAGATAACATACAATATTCAAATGACAACAGCTAGCTTTCACCTATATTTTCCTTCAACTGACTTATGATAGAACCATAAAACATATTTTACATTAGTTTATCAACACTCATGATAGATTTGGGGAACTTTTGCTTTTAAAATGGCATTTATTATCAATATGTACTATGAAATAAAAACCGAAAGTAACAGATCATGTTTGTTTGCTTTCTTTACGTAAACATTTCAAAACAAAAAAAAATTTAATTACTTTTAAAGTGTGAAGGTTCTTCTAAGTTTCTCTAAGAAAGTTTGAGAACATTAAAAAATCAGGCTTTTAAAGTGAAGCCTCAATCCATAGAGAATATTTCTGCTAAAAATTAAACAAGAGGATAACTACAATCCTTTGATGATTAGTAAAAATAAAATGATTAAAAATATTTTGTCATATAAAGTAGGCTCAACAATGTATGTTTAAGTTTACAGTATACACATTTACAAAGATAGCAGAAATGCAACAGATAGTGTAGGTAAGTAAGTGAATTTTTTAATTCCAGTAAATATGACTAATGTACAATATTTGGCTTTCATCTTAGTAAGAAAATTTATAATGTGTGAAATAACTTTGTAAGAATATATGCTTAAAATAAAAGAAAAACACATAAATATTTTTTCAAACAGATACATCTACAATCTTCATATTTTTAAGGTTTAATTTATATACAACTAGATTTCATCAATTTTTATGCAGGTTATAAAATAATAATAAAGCCAGAAAACACTGAGTTTAGTGGCATACATAATTTTGTACAAAAGCAAACAATTAAATAACAAAAATAAATCTCCCACTTTGCTTCCACTACATATGAGACAATGTCTATGTAATCAGAAATACAGCTGTAAAGTCCCTTTTTATAATCTTATATTTTTTTCTCTTATGTAATCCTACCTCTTCTGTTAATTAAATAATAATAATAATAAAGCTGTTACCTGAGAAAAATCTTGACTGATACAAAATAGGCCAGTGTAAACTATTAGCTGAATAAAGGATACAAACATTGTTAAGCAATGAAATAAAAGCCATGGGTAATCAATTCAGAATTGGAAATAATAGAAAAATCAGTCAAATATTATTAATAATCGATATGGTCCACACAGGCAATGATACGGGTGATATGGATGAAGAACTCCATACCCAATTAAAGACTGAAAAGGGCAGGAGAATTCAATTTTATAATTTAATGGAGGTTAGTTGTCTTTGATGAATAACTGAAAATCTGATGGACCTCTACATTTGTACCTACCTGAAGGAATGCAGGTTTTATTTTACCCCACTTCCCTCCCACTGCCTCAAAAGATACTGGAGATAAAAGCAAGTATTATTGGGGTAGATTGAATCACATTCAAAATGATTTTTAACTTGATCATTTCAGATTCAAGGTTTAGCTACCAAAATTTAGAACGGTTTGTGATCAAAGAAGATTTCAGTTCACAGAACTTTACCATCTCGTAAGTGCTCTTCCTTTTACCAGGAAGTATGTTGTCTGCTAAGGGAATAAAAATTATTTTACATAATTACAGACATCCTGGAACTACTATCCATTTTTCTAGGTAGGTGACTGTACTTTTTCTACTTCAAAAGTTAATTTTCCACTGTCTTTACTTTGGAATTTCTAAACAGGTTACAAATGATGAGTAGGCTATAGAAAAGTATTTATAAGATATTTGAATATAAATATTTAAAAAGTCATGAGTTATTGAAGGACTTTATTATTGAGAACAGGAGAGTAGGTAGGGCATATATGTGTGAAAATGAATATATTTACTGGATGCTATGGTTTACCTTCATACATAGTAAAAAAAAAAATTTCAGCATTAAAATTTTATTGTCAAAACACATCTTTTCCATTATATTCTGTACAATGAGCTGTTAAATTGAACTTAAACAAAGAAAATGACAATTAAAATGCATCCTGTTAAAAGTTGTTTCTTTGTGATCAAAGATGGTGTTGACTGCTGGCTGCTAATGAGAATAAATAAAGTCAATACAGCAGTTGATTTAAAGAGCGTATATGTGCCAAGTTCTTATTACATAAAATCAAAAGAAGTTTCTAAGTACAATGAAATACAATTCTTCTAAACAGAAGCAGCAAGCCATAGACATGCAAAGGATGGTAACTATTGAGAACACGCAAATGAATTAAGAGAATCAAATTATTTCTCAAGCATGTTCAATACTTTTATATGTCATAACATGAATTTAAATGATAGAGAGTAGAAAAACTATAAACTGTACATCAATTAAGTTTTAATTAAACTAAAATTTGAAGAAATCAGATTCCAGAATATAAAATGTAAAGAAAATATGAGCAGTTTTAATCAGTAAAAGTTGATGCTTAAATCAGCTATCAATGTTTATTTAAAAACTTTGGGCTTAAACAAAAAGACTTCCTGTTACTCAGGTAACTAACACTAGAACACCTATAGGACAAATTTCACTTTCAGATTGCCATGAAAGTGTAGCCTGTAACATTTTTATTAAGGAAAAAGCGTAAAAGAGGTAATTTGCCATTAGGAAATCAGTTAGCCAACGCCAAGGTATAAAGTAATTTTCGTCTCAGCTAGGATTTTTTTTCAGTAGTATATACTCATAGCAACAAGATTAAGTTTTATTAACACAATTTTTTAAACACAAAAATTTACAGAATTAAGGTTCACCTGAGTTCTTAGCAGTATGGACAATTTAAAGGGTAAAAATAAGGTATTTCTGACAGCACGAGATAGTTCTTTAAGAGTTAAGATTACACAGTTGACACAAAACAAATAAAAAGAATGAAACCCTACTGGAGAAATAACTTGTTTCCATCTATGTTATACTCAAGCACCACCAGAGCTGGTAAACTGCAGCAACTCCACTAACAAAAACAAATATATGAATCCAAAGCAGTTAAGAGTATGAACTGGATGAAAGAATGAAGTACAGTAGATAAAAGAATGGTCATGTTTTCTCTCCCATGAGATTAAATTAAGAGAATTAAGAGAAAGAAAACAAAATGAAGTCTGCAAGTATACCAAAATGAGGCCAAACAGATAGAAGACTTATACAGACATACTCTTGGAAATTTCAAGCACTTGAATCACAAAGATAGTAATGGATGGATATGATTTGTTTTTGATTTTGTTTTTAAATTGCCAGACCCAAAAATAAACAAAATGTGTGCAAGCAGAACTGAAAAAGCAGCATTACTAAAATATATTTCAAAGAATCTAAAGGATCCCTTTTCATCATGCAATAGGCAATTAACTTTCCTGAAAGGAACAGAAAAGAATATAGATATTTATTTCATCTAAGACATAAAATACCATCCTACCATCTTAATTTTTTTTCAAGGTTGATATATGGCATAATTAGATGGTAGTTGGAAATTGCATATACTAAAAAGCCTTTACCCACCCTTCCTGCTGGAAGTTGCTATATGTACATTCATAATTTTCACCTAACAGCAAAGTGAAAGAACATCAACATTAATAAACACAGTAGTAAATGGTTTCAGACTCAAAATCATTAACAAAATAATGGCAGATTTTGAAAGCATGTTTTGAGCCAAATAGAAAATTGGCTCAAATATCAATATCAATAAAAATATCCATATTTTAATTTTTTAATTTGAAGGTCAGTGACTTTTAATCTGGAAACTAGTAATAGACTTGCTCTTTGCTATAAAGGCAGTGCTTTAATACCACAATTAATAAACAAACATGTGAGAAATGCTGATGACAATCCTCTGGAGAGCAAGAACTGTGCCATTTTATTAAAATTTTTAATCAAAATTAGAGTGTTTAAAATTTTTAAAGTTTCCAATAACTAGTCATTTTAAATAATTTAAGCTACAGTTATAATTTCTGACATAGGATTTGCCTATGTGAAAAAATCTGGCTAAGGCTATTAATGGATTTAATACAATGAGTTCTTATGATTACAAGTGGCTTCTCAGGTCCTTGCCATAATTTTGTAGAACAGAGTAATTGTGCATGTCAAAGTAAAGGGGCAAAGCCAATCACAATCTAACTTTCCAACATCTGCATCTTGGGACCACTTTTTCTCTACTTGTTGAAAATAGACACTTGATTTAAAAAAAAAGTAACTACTACTTCTTATAATAGAAATTATGAGACCCACATTGTTGATGGTCCTTTGCTAGAACATAGCAGTTTAACATAAAGATAGCAACAAAGAAACTAGCAAGTGTTTTGGATCAGTGGAGGTGAATAACTCCACAGTGTATTTTCTATGCAGGGGATAAAATATAAAGATTCAGTGATCAACAGTGGTAACCCAGCTTCATAATCTAGTCCAAGATCTTGGGCTATTAAATTAAAATACCACTTGTATGGTGCTACTTCTCAAACACATCCAGAAACTAAAAAGTAGTAACAAGGCAACTCCAAGTTCTCAGTGGCATTTTTTCTAATTAGAAAAGAGGGTAATCTAACTTGTTAGGTTTATAGATATTTTTCCTTTGTGGGACTCAATAAATAATGCACTTTCATTTTGAAGTTTTTTAATGTAAGCTTATAATATAAACATGATAAACTTTGCTGAAATAATTTTGTACAAAAAAATTGTTCATCACCATCTACATTTTAAAAAAGTAGTTCACACGATTTACGGTGTGAAAAATGGAAAGGAAATACCAGAAAATTTGGTTTTGTAAAGCTAGGAATCTATTAAAAAAAATTTTCAATATTTGTCAACGTGCTTTGCAGGATTTACAATATTTTGTTGAGTCTTGTGAGGTTTGGATGTCAGAAAGTTGGTACAGCAGAAATACATCTTATTTATTCCTTTGTTATGGCATTTAATTCAAATTTTAGATGATTTCTGATCTTACTTTTTGTTGGCTAGTTTTAATATTAACTAGATAGTCAAAACTGAAAAAGCAATTCTGTTAAGACTTTGGAACTGAAAACCATTGTGAAGGGAAAAAAAAGTACGGTTTAACAGTCACTATTCTAAGCCTTTACAGGTTCTCACTTTGTACGCAAAACTCTAAAGGTTCTGCTTTTGTTTTTAAATTCAGTTTCCAAAAACCAGCAGGCAATTTGATGTTAGAATCCTAACTTAGAAAGATGGGGGGGAAAAATACGTGAGAGTTAAATTAAGATTGGTTCTGCCATAAGATGCTCAAAATAAACTCCAAATTTCTATATACAAAGTTAATTGTCATTTCTACAAATGTAATTTGTCAGTTAAATGACAATGTTTAAAAAAAAATTAAACTTTCCTTCTACAATGCAGGCAGACAAAACAGAACAAACATGACATCAATGATATACTAGTAAAATACACTAAGTCCAATAAAAGATGAAGGAACTACAAGAAGAAACTAGAATGGAAAATAGGCTACAGGGACTATATGAGTTCATTAACACAAAGAATTTTTGAGTCTGGCCTAAATAATTAATTGCCTTTGACATCATTTTGCTTTCCCTTTGTAAAAGTACATTTTTCTCAAAGTCATCAATACCTTGTCTACCTGTCCTGTCTGGGAGATTGAAAGATAAAGGTCTGTAAGAGAGAAGAATGGAAAGAGCTAGAAAGATCAGGATGTTCAGAAAAAAAAGAGGACTGGCTTTTAAAACGTAGTGACTAAATTCAGACCCATTTATCCATCTTAAAAAAAAAAAACAAACATGAAATGCATAAAGGCTAAAAGTCTCCCCAACCCCACCCCTCTACCTCCACCCCCAGGGAGTCCTTTAATTCCTAGGCAAGTTCCAGGGCACCTCTTACACTTTCCCCAAATCCCACCCAACCTCCCAACTTAAACCCTCCTTCCCCAAGATCCCAATGTCACAGTAAACCATTTGCTATAAGCAGCATAGACAAAAATATATTCAGCATATCTTTGCCTCTCCTGTCTTTAAAGATCTGAGAGATCTTTCCCTGCAAAGGTGCTGGGAATTAAACTGGCTCACTTTAAGTCTGTGACTGGAAATGTACTACCTATAAGCTAATATAATAAAGTCTTTATTTCTGAAAAAGTAAAGGCACTCAGAGAGACCCATGTTAGATTGTAAACACTATATCTTAACTATATCCATGCTAATTTTCAAAAGATAAATGTTATTTTAAATACTACTTATGTTTTAAAATATGATAACCAGGTCTTTTAATCAACCATGATATTCTCATTTTTAATTAAGTCTTTCTTGGTAAATTTTAGCTTACATAATAATTTTAAACTGAAATTTAGTAACATTAATAGCAGCTTGCGTTTTGCTTTCAAATAATTTTGTGATTATTCTGCAGTCATGTATTTGGTAGACCTAACCAGTTTAAGTAACGCAGAAATGGAACCCATATGAAAATGTGTACATTTCAATGTGTTTGGAATAAAACTGGTAGCCTCCCAAACATACTCAAAATATACGAAAATTAATGAAAAATTAGAATTTGAAAAACAACATAATTTTCAATGCAATTTCTTACAATGGCCTTATTTTAACTTCAAAACCTATTTTAAAAGTAAAATATTAGCAGACATCACATGTAGAAAAACACTTTTATGTTGTGATTTATCTCTAATCGTATTTAAAACATACTTTCTTGTAGAGGAGAAAAAGAAAAACTAATTTGGTTGCAGATAACAACTAAGTATACATGTTAAAATATAATCAATGGATGAAAAGTATACAGCAATATTCAAAACTATTTTAAACAGCAATGTTTCTGAATAAGGTTTTTTTTGTTACAGTATTATAGCAATTTCTATCACTAATGTAAATTATGAACTTTACCACTTTTGATAGAAAAAATGCCTGATTAACAAAGTTTTACTGGATAATCGAAAAGAAACTATCCATTATACAATTACTATAGCTCTTTTATTACTTTCTGCCATATATATATATATATATATATATCTCCTAATCCTCAGATTTCAAATTTATCCACCATCCTGTGTTTCATTCAATTCTACTGAGCATATAGCATTATGTTAAAATGATCCTTGACAGTGCCAATAAGATAAAAATTCTTCAGAACTCACCTGCTATAAATTAATGCTACTGTATTTTTAATATCATGCTGCATTTATAGAATTTTTATTTAAATCAACAAAACACCTGAATGTGTACTAATAAGATTTGTTTTCCCTGAGTTATAACTATAAACACCAGAGGTAAAAGTACCTCAAACAAGTAGTTCTGAATACACTATCAAGACTTCTTAAACCTCTGCTATAGTAATTATGAGAAACACCCAAAATAATGAGAAATTAAGCAGTCCAACTACAGCACCTGTTACTTTACTCAGCTCAGTACTTGAGGGAAGAGTCACTAAAAATCTGAAGCAGGATTTGATATAATGCTAATGTTCTTCATTCATCCAATCTATCAGCACAAAGTTGGCTGTATGTAATGAACCAAATCTCTCACAGAAACCAATAAAAGCCACAAACACATGTATCACTATAAAAATATGTGAGTTAATTAGCTGCCAGTGACCTTTGGGGAGGATCCAGAATTAAAAGATTAAGTATTAAAGTCTTTTTTCAATATGCATTCAGGCTTGCTAAGCACCTAAACTAGAACTTAAAATATTACTCCCTCAAGAGAAGCCCACTTCCTCTCTCTTTCCTTTTTCAGAAATAGTTTTTAACACTAAATTGATATGTCTTTAAAATCAGTTTTAAGATTTCTTGATAATTAACAACCAAGATTTTATAAAGCAAATATTACTCCATTTTTTCAAAATAAATAATTTGTTTTAAGAAATAAAAACATGGAATTATATTTATTAACAGAACTGTGGCGGAAAGAATACATAAAACTATTCGGTGGATATTAGTCACATAACATTCAACATAGTAAAATGTATATATGCCATTTCTTAAAAACAAAGTATTCCAGTTGTACCTAAAGGGTGATACTGAAGGACAAACAGTGAAAGCTACAAATCATGCATAATTTACAATCATGCTTACTACCTTCATTAACTAGAGCACCTTTTACTCTTACCTCAGATTTCTCCAGTTTATTTTGTGCATCAATTTGCGTAACTATCTCATTCATGTTGGTCTCCAACACCATTCCCCCCATCACCATTTCTGCAAGAATATTGTGGACCTAAGGAAAAAAAAAATAATAAGTCATAAGGAAACTCACGACATGATGTTCCATGATTCTAGTAGTTCTGTTTCAAGTACTACTGTGTCTTTTTTATAGGTAAAATACAGCTGTAAAATAAAAATAATTAGTAACAAGGTCTCATAAACTATTCTTGAAACTATCAAGAAGCCTTAGGCAGTATGTAGCTCCTTTAAGTCTTCGTTTAATGGGCTAAAAAATATATAAAATAAAATAAATAGTAATAAAAATAAAAATATATATAAACACACACATGTGCATACATATATCATTTACATATACGCATATATTGGTCATATATTCTTTACTAATGTTTCTATTTATTTGTTGGAATTTGTCTGCTTTCAACCTATTCAAATTATTTCCTGTGTAGGAATTGTACAAATAAATTTTTTAGCTCAGTGGAAAAAAAAAGAGAGATGATAGTAATAGCACTCTTTTCGTTTAGTGAAAACTATTATATAATAGCACTTCTATTTGCTCTGATTGTGGAAGGATGAAATGAGTACACCATATGCATTTATTAAATATTTATACACAGTGCTTACAGGGAGCACCATTCTGGTTTAAGCAAATTATACACAATCACTGTAGAGCAGAATGAAGATTAAATGAAACTCTTTTCCCTTTTTTAGCAGTTATGAGCCTACTACTCTATTAAACTAAGCATCTAAAAAGGATAAAGAAAGGAAAGAAGAAAGTCATATTATGTAGATTTCTTTCTATGGACTGTCCATGGTTTCAGAGCATCAAAGTAACTTGGCTATATTTATGTTAGAAATGAGGTGCTCTGCTGCTACCAAGAATTGTCTCCCCACAAACTATTCCTATCTTTAGTACTATGAGAGATATTCTAAAGTATGACAAATTTCAAAGTAATTTTGGAAGGAAAATATTTGCTAGCTTATCAAAATTTTGGTGTTTTCAAGACAAGTATAAGACGGGAAAGTATATAACATGCTATTAATAATATACTTGTCCATTGCTCTTAAATGGAAAGCAAAAGGGATACAATAATTCAAAGTAACAGGTAAGAGTAACTATTTTAGAAGAAAATGCATTTTATAGTGAATATGAATGCCTCAAAATCTAGAAATTCAAAATATTCAAGCCTGACTGAAAAACTAGAAAGCTAGTCTACTTTCTTTTTTTTTTTAATTTTTAATTTTTAATTATTTATTTATTTATTTTTTATAGAGGCATGTTTTATTTGTTTGTTTTGTTTATACATGCACGCACTGGGTACAGTCAGAAGCACGGGAGGGTGAGAGAATTCAGCAGAGCCAGAGCGGGGAGCAGAGCAGGCAGAAAGACTAAAGTACACTGCTGAGGTGAGCAGCGGGCGGCAGGAGAGGTCTGCGTGCCATGTGGGACCCTCCTCTGGTAGCAGGGGAGCAGCCAGGCATCGAACCGGCACCGCAGAGGCTGCGGGCAGCTTCACAACCCAGCGCTCAACTGCTGCGCCACTGGGGAGGCCCTAGTCTACTTTCTATTTTGTATTCTGGGGTGATTATACGGAAATCCTTTTTAAAAGCTACTTATAAATCATAACTCCTCACTAAAATAATTTAGAATATTCCAACTCTATTTCTTCCCTTCCTGGTGTATGTGTTAGTGTTGACCTGTTTTATTGCTACAATTTCTTTGTTTTAATACCACAAATGCTTTAACAGTCAATGTTCTTTTTATACTTTTATCCACAGATTAATCACCTTCTCTTCTCCTTCTTACTTCTTCAACTCATTTCCATCTTATGTCTTAGACCTCCTTCAATGTAATGTGACCTCTTTATAATTTCCTTTACTGAAGGCTTTCTAAAGTGATGACAAATTCTTTCATTACTTGCTTCTCTAACAAGTGTTATTTCCCCCAAATTATTGAGAAATATGTTTGCTAATTTAAGAACTACAGGCTGGCAGTTATTTTCTTTTGACACTGTTTTCTAATTTCTTTGGTTGTTACTGAGAAATTAGTTCTAATCCAACCATTGTGCTCCCTTGGAGGTAATCTTTTATTTCAGGAAGATTTTAAGTGTTCTTTCTTTGTTATTCAATTTTACAATCATTAGTCAAGAGGTATATTACTTGCTTTTCTATTCTGCTTATAACACTTTTACCCGTGAATTGGTATGTACTTCTGGAAACCTGTCAGTCATTTATACTGAGACATTGAATCAGCCTCATTTTTTCTTTTGTCGTCTTCTGCAAATAAGAGTAAATGTTCATAATATCAAAATCAACAAACAACTATGAACCAGAGACACTCTATGAGGGGTGGGGGGCTGGGAAAGGAGGGCTTGGGGTCAAAATAAAAAAAAAAAGAGTAAATGTTCATGACACCTTTCCTGCTCTGTCCTCTGACATCTGTAAACTATCGCTCATATTTTCTATCCTTCTTGTTGCACTGTGGACAATGTGCTGCCTTCTCCATTTACTCAGGTATGTCTACAATATCTAAGCGCAACCACTGAAAATTTTAATTTTGACTTTTTTCCCCTCTTCTAGAAATTCCACTAAGCTCTTTTTCAAATCATCCAGGTGTCCAGGTCATTTTAAAAAATATTTTATTCATTCTATTTTTTTTTATCAGTACTGACTTTTATCTATTTAAACATAATAGCAGCTTCTTGCTCTTTCTCTTTTATTGGGACTGAACTTTCCAACCCCTTGCTCAGTGGGTGGGGGAAGGAGTGGTCTGTCTGGGGCCAAGCTTTTGAATAGTGCTGCAGAGAAGAGTGGACACTAACGTGTCTGAAGTTTTGCTTTCAAATGGTCCAGCAAGGAGTTTGAATATAGAAAGGACTGACCAAATAAGTAAGTACATCAAGAATAATGAGAATAATGGGAACCAGAATAACCAAAATAATTTCTCCAGGTCAGAGAAGTGACAAATATAGAAAAAAGAGAGAGAAGTATTAAAAAGAATGCAATGAATTTTAATAAAGATAGAGAAGTAGGAGTGTGTGTGTGTGTATATATAGTTATTTCTCACCTCGGTTCCCTGAGAATCAGTAGTAATATCACCCCATGGCAATGCACATATATAGAGTCTGACCATCATTTTCCATCTAAAAGGAACCAGGGATCCTTCAAGAAATGGCTGAGTTAAGGACTCCTCTAGAATTTATCCTGTTTCTCTTATGTAACCTCATTCTTGTAATGGATTATTTCCTTCAGTTCACATTTAGTGGAATGAATAATATATATTTTAAATTATTACTTCCTTCTTCCAATAATTGTTGATTTGATCAAATTTTATTTACACTATTCCTTCTCTTATCTTTTCTCTCAAAATTTCAGTCCTGTGCTTTGAGATTATTTTTGTTGTTGATTGTCTACCTAAATTCTAGTCTAAAGTGTGACCATCCTCTTGTTTAAAACTCTAATTTCAAAAACATATTTTAAAGCCCCAAAAAGACTTTTCCATATTGCAACTCAAGTACATCTTATTTTTCAATTTCAAGTGTTCAATCTATCGCCACAGTAATTCCTCACTAAAGCATACATTCTGAGCTGTTCCTCATCTCGCCTGTGAGTTGCATTCTTTTCTTCGTTGGCTCACTGGTCCTTAGTTCTAGTTGCCATGATCTTCTTAATAGCTAGACTCTTGTTGGTGAGGAAAGGGAATTTCTCTCTAGTGGCTGGTGGTTTAAGTACAGGCTGTCAAATTCCTCAAGAGGAAGTGGGCTGGAAAAAAACCACTCAGCTCCCATTTCTCCCAGCCTGAAGGATAACATCCTTCTAGCAAACCATCAATGAACAGGTAGTGTAACTAAGAAATAAATCAAGTTATTTTTATTTCAGGGGCTATTACTGCATTATAACTTAGCTTTAATAAAAAGTCTAACTCCAATTTTCATGTTTGACAACTGACAGCTTTCAAGTGCTCGAGCTCCTGCTTCTGTCCCACATCTGGGACAGCTGATAAAAAGAAGTTGAGGTGCTCCTTCTTCTGCATGTATAAAGTTCAAACCACACAGACCTGACCTGCATCTGAAAACCCTCACCCAGCTTCACCTTCCAGCCAACATAAAACTCCAAGTCAGCCACTGTTCCTTGCTCTTCCCGAAAAACCTCACTACATGAGTAACAAACCTTTCAGATCCTCTTGGTGCATGTGTCAACATTCATAAGTTATTTACATACATATTTGTATAAAAAATCTAAAAAATGTATAGATTCTTAAATGAAAACTAGGAAATCTCTGGAGTTGAGAAGGCTTCTACTTACTCTTATTTTTATTTTATTTTCTGATTTTTCTAACATGGAGTACACTAATGCAAAATAGAAGTTTTAAAAATGGTGTGATATATGGAAGTTATACATGAATAAAGCTTAATTTCCCTACTAAGGAAAACTTTTATTCTCTAGGACAAAAGTGAGAACTTTACTCTTACTGCAACATTTCATAATGAACTGAAGTTTTGTAAAAAAAAAAAAAATTGCTAGCTGTAGTGTATTATATAAGCTGGTACTCTTGAAGGAGTATTTTTAAAAATAGAGCTTTATTAAACATTTTAATCATGTACCAAAACATTATTTTAAATATTGTAAAACCTGATGCTTAAAAATAACAGATTATTTTTGTAAGTGTGAAAAAGCATAAAATATGTGAAATACAAAAAAATAGAAGAAAACTAAAAATAAGCTCTTAAAAATATTAAGTTCCCTATCAAAAATGAGTCAATATATTATATCAAATCACTTAGCAAACAAGAAATATGAGCTAGACGACTGACTAAAGATAAAGGTATTCTTTTCATATTTATAGATAATAAGATGCATTAACTTGTTAGTGGTTACATAACTAAATCTATTTGCCAAACCCTCACTAACTGGATACTTTAAACTGATAAATGTTAATATTTGTAATTACACCTCAAGCGATTTTTAAAAATCATCTTTTCTACTAAAATTTTAGCAGATTCTTTTCAGACTATTTTATCCAATGACTTCACCTTTCAAAGCATCTACAAGATTATAGAAACTTACAAAGAAAAAAATCTGTATAGTGAAAATGAAATCTCTTCCTCCTAAATTCCTTATCTCTAATACCCTACAATACTGAGAAAAGCCAGTCATCCTTCCTTTCTCTCACTTCCAGTTTTCAAGAGGCTATCAATTCTACTTTTTTTAATCCCTACTATTCTCCCTAATTCATTTCTTTTGGGAATTCTGCAATAGATTCCCTGTCTTTGATCTTCTCCTAACAATCCAGCCTCTATAAAAAAATCTTAACCACAAAACTAATACAAATAAAACAATAGCATCAATCAAAAACTTGTTGAAAAATACCAAATTCCGGGCCTCCCTGATGGTGCCAGGAATTAAGTCTCAGTACAATGAAGCTATCTCCTGCTGACCCACAAGGCGAGGCAGACCTTTCCTGTCTCACCTGCTGCTCCCCTCAGCAGTGCATTTCAGTCAGTCTACCTGTTCTGCTCCCCAATCTGTCTCTGGTGAATCCTCTCAACTTAATTCCATTCCCCCATCCTCTGGCCTATATCCAGTTCCTGGATGCATAAATAAAATAAACCTTTAAAAAAATACATATCAAATTCCTTGGATGAAGTCCCAAGCCCATGGCACTAAAGACACTTTAAATTTAGGTATCTCGAGCAGTATCAATCCTGCTTAAAGGCCCATGCTCTCTTACTGTCTATGAAATATCTACCAATCACTTTAAATATAGTTTTAGTGCCATTTTCTCCATTTACACCCTCCAAGACAGAAATAAGTGTTCAGTCCTGTTCCCGCTAACACTCTGAACATAGTGTTACTTGTTAATGCCACTGTTTGCTCCTCTAGATTGAATTACTTGGGACAGGGTCTAAATCTTCTTCACCAGGCATGGTGCTTGGCTCTCAGTAAAAATGATTTGTGAACTGAATAATAAAGGAATAAAAACAGTATTATTCACCAGATCCATTTTTACTTTGACAAACACAAATTAAAGCCCCACTTGGATAAAAAGTTTAGAAGATATGACAATATAGAAATAGTACCTTATCTACATGGAAAATTAAATCCAGTTCACAGACATTTTCAAAACACTTGTCTAATGTTTCCACAAATACCTATAGAAAAAAAAAGAAAAAAATAGGTTAAAAGCTTTTGAGAACTGTACAAGGTTATTAAAATCTATTAATATAAGAAAGACAATTTCTTAATTGTGCACTGAAACTTTTTTATCTCTATTATCACAGTTCTCCTTAGTTAAAAGTTATACTAAGTACAAAGGAGTAAATATGAACTTCATATAAACTACTTTTCACTACATTAATAAATTGAAATTTTAATGAAAATAACTAAGAACTTGCAATTCTTAGCCCCATTACTTATAAAAGCATGTAAAAATACTCAAATCAAACTTGCGGTCTTCATGTCAGGGGAGGAGAAAGCCTATTAGAAATATAGATGGGTCTAGTACAAGTCTCTACTATATACTATGTAGCCAATAATTTTAAATTAACATGTCAGTATAAAAAAATCACTGAAAAATTACTACTTATGGAAAGAATATAGACATGCAGAATCAGATTAAGCCGGGTTCAAAGTTCTGGCTCAAATATCTTCTATGAGCTTGTGTGAGAAAGGGTTAATTAAGCAGACCTGGGTTGCTCAAACCCTGCACATCACCCAAAAGGGCCTGTTTTCAGTCCTTGGCTAGTTCCTGGGAAGTAAGCTCCATGTTCTCATTGTGTTTTGTCTGCTATCAGTGTTTTTATATGTGTGGGGTGTCTTGGGCCACACTGTTCCAATGTGAAAAAACAGTTTATGCTAACAGTGTGATTTATGAACATAGCTTTTTCTCTGAGAGTGCATTTACTTATGCGTACAAGAACTGGGGTGTAGGCCAGAGGTGTGCAGGGTGAGAGGATTCACCAGAGACAGAGTGGGGAACAGAACAAGTAGACTGAAGTACACTGCTGAAAGGAACAGCGGGCGAGTCAGGAGAGGTCTGCTGCGCCACGCGGCCTGGGGCCTGGGGATCGAACTCATGCTGCAGTGGCTGTGTGTAGCTTCATAAGTTGTGTCTTAACCCCTTGCACCACCAGGGAGTCCCAAAAGTACTTATTATTAAGTATTCACCCAAAGGACCAACTTCATCTATTTTGCCTCAAGGTCTTGGTGACATGATCTCTGAAATGATTTTATTCATTTTATTAATAACTAATTCAGATTCATTTTCTTTATGAGGATTGAATGAGATAGTACTGCCTGAATACAAACTAAACACTTAGCAAACATTAACTTCTTGGAGGGAAAATGAGGATGAAAAAGAAAAAAATTTTCTCACTTAAAAAAGGATAATTACTTTTGAACAGTGTCTTTAACTTGGAAATATCCTGAACATTAATTTATAAAAATCATAAAGAAGTTGTAGGAAATAAAGCCATTAAGTTCTGCACCCCTATTTAGCAAAATTTACTGAAATATAAGATACATGCAGAAAAAAATGCAAATCATAAGATATGCCATGATAACTTTTCACAAAGTAAACATTTCTGTGTAACCAACACCCAAATCAAGTTTTGGAATACTGCCAGAAGACTAAGAATTCCCCCTCATACTCTATCAGTCACTGTCACTATTAAAGACAACCACTATCCTGCTTTCTCTACAGATACAACTATTTCTGAAAGACATTTAAATGGAATATTTAAACGGTCTTTTACGAGTAACTTCTTTTATTTATTGCTATTTTTATTAGATCCATCTATGTTATTACATAATAGAATAGCTCATTCTTTTTTTTAAGTTTTTTTTTTTTTAAAGAGGCATGTATTTTTATTTATTTAAGATTTATTTATTTGTTTGTTTGTTTGTTTTGTTTATACATGCACTGGGTACAGTCAGAAGCGCAGGAGGGTGAGAGAATTCACCAGAGCCAGAGTGGGGAGCAGAGCAGGCAGAAGGACCGAAGTACACTGCTGAGGGGAGCAGCGGGCGGCAGGAGAGGTCTGCATGCCATGGGGGACCCTCCTCTGGTGGCAGGGGAGCAGCTGGGGATCGAACCGGAGCAGCTGGGGATTGAACCGGAGCCGCAGAGGTCGCGGGCAGCTTCGCAACCCAGCGCTCAACCGCTGCGCCACCAGGGAGGTCCAGCTCATTCATTCTTATTGTCCTTTTAGAACTAAAAGATAATTCAAACTAAGGAAATAATAAATTGCTGTTGTATTATATTCCACAAGGAGAAAGATTAAAAAAAGCCAAGAATTAGAAATGACATGGTAAACAGCACCCTCTTGTGTTTCATAATATAAAGTTTAAAGTCAATTTCAAAGTGATACCTACTAAGTAGCTACTAATTAATCTCAGGTCACAAAGAATTCAAGGGTCAATGAGAGAAAAATTACTTTTAATTAACTGAGAGATTTGTATTTTAAGTTTTCCTTAATTTTAATTGTCTATTTCCCAAAAATAAATATAAAAGGCAGATATTCAGAAAAAGTCACATATACATACATACAGTCTCCCTTTCCTCCCTTTTCTATCAATATAAAGTCCTGTGTTTCCTATTTTTATAAATCTATATCAGGGTTGTAAAGGACAACAGGAACATATTTTGAGGCAGCTAATATTTAGTACTTAAGAGAATAAACTTTATAATATCTCTATTAAAATTCCAGCTTAATCTCTAACTATGAAATCTAGGGCAAGCTAACCCTAAGCCTTAGTTTCTTTATTTTGGTATAATGATCCATATCTATGCAGAAGAATTCTTTCAGTGATAAAATGAATAAATCACAGGACTTAGAACAATGTCTCACAAAAAAATACTCAATAAATATTAGTTATTACTATAGTACAATAAACATGGAGAAATAAAAATGTATACAGTGAGTAAATAAGAAATACATTCTTTATTGGTGGTCATCTTTTCATGCTATCATAATGGTACACACAGATGTCCTAGGTATACTATCAAGGCCACTAGCAATGTTCACAGGAAAGGCAACTGTGGGGTTCTTACTAGACTGTGAGGGCTTCTGTTAAATGTCGAGAGCAATAGATCCTACCATTTCTAATCTATAATAGAAAATAAAATACATGTTAAACTGACATAACATAAGGAAATTATTAAGCCCAAGAATAGGTGGCAGAGATTTAAGAATACTAATATATCTAAAGAGCTAATATTTTTTAGCCAACAGCAAGATGTTCTAGACAGATAAGGATTCTCTCAAGCCAGAATCCAAAAATACCACCAAGAACATAACAATAGAGCTAGAGAATGAAGGTTGAACTTTAAATCAGATCAATTACCTTTGAAGAACAATTATGACTATAGCCTGATCTGTACTTAGCATGCCATATTCAGAATCTTGAGGTGCATAAACAGCAACTGACTCAGTGTGTAACTGAAATCAGACTAAATTTCCACTAAATCTGGCTTGATAATAACATGCCAATGATGACAATCTTAGTAAGAGTAGAGACACTTATTTTGTACATCTCATTCGCTAGGCCTACTCCCTCCAACAATAATAAGAAATAGTATTCATTTTTAATATAGCAAGAAGTGATTATTTAGAAAAGTTGGAAAATACAGAAAAGAATAAAGCACAAAAATTTAAAGTTTCTATAATTTTACCACCCACATTAAAATGGTATTATGCAAAGCATAAACAGCTTGTCCTTTTGGAAATTTAATTAGATGGTAGCCTTTTCCACTAAAGTGATTTGGTAAGATTTGTAGGTTGTGCTAAAGATGGAGCTTCCATATGATCCAGCAATTCCACTCCTAGGTATTTACCCAAAGGACACAGAAACATTAATTCAAAAGGGCACCTGCACCCCTATGTTTATAGCAGCACTATTTACAATAGCTAAGCTTTAGAAATAACCCAAATGCCCAAAAATAGATGACTGGATCAAGAAGATGTGGTACATATACACCATGGAATATTACTCAGCAATCAAAAAAGATAAACTCACGCAATTTGCAGGAACATGGATGGAGCTGGAAGGGATCATGCTCAGAAAGAAAGCCAGAAAGAAAAAGAAAAATACCGGATGGTCTCATTCATAGCAGGAATTTAGAAAACCAAATAAAGGACTAGGAAAAAACCTAATTATAATAAAGTAAAAATCAAAATCAACAGGCAACTATAAACCAGAGACACACTATGGCGGGGGGGGGGAGTAGGATCAAAACAAGGGGGGGTGGGAATTGTATGGGGACTATAACCAAGACAAAAATGCATACATTGTGCAAAAATGAAAAATAATGTAAAAAATGTATAAAATAAAAAAAATTATAAAGAAGATTTGTAGGTTGGATTTACAAGTCTAAAGAACTAGATTTTTTAATTTTGTTAAGATTAATAAACCAAATATTAACTTAAAAAAGGAAAGTAGCTGTCAACAAAAGCAACTCATATTTTTTTAACTGTATATTGACACAAATTCTTATAGCTATCTTTAAACTTCCAAGCAAAGCTGATTTTTTATAATAGTACCTGCCCCTGAAAAATACTCTTCTACCTATAACTAAATATGGTACAACTAATATTTTGAGCACTGATTTAAAGCAAAATAAAAAGAATAAAAGCCTTAGAAAGTTTTTCCTTACAGAATATCAATTAACAAATATAGAGGGTATGATGGGAAAAAAATCACCATTTGGCAAACACCACAATTATAATTTTTCGAGCAATAATCATCAATGGAGGCTAAAATTAATGCCCAAAGACAATTAGTAAAAGGTTATTTATAGAGTGTCAGTATATGCCCCACAAGATACTTTTAGGCACAAATGGAAAAAGAAAGTGGCAAACCTGGCAGGATGCAAACCTGGCAGGCACCACATTAACCAAAGAACCAAATTAAATATCACAAGTGATGGGACAAAAATGACATCATGTACCTTATGATATGATGCATTTACAAGGACATATTATCCTTTCTGTGGTATTCTTGCCAAAACCACACATGAATTTAATCATTAAGAAACCTCAAATAAATACAAACTGAAAAATTTCCTACAAATAGCTGGCTCACAGTCTTCAAAGGATCAGTGTATAAAAGATGAAATAGATGAAAAAAAAGATGAACTATTACAAAGTAAAGG